TATCTTCGTCAGTGCTTCCATGTCAAATTATCAAAGCTGTAACCTTTTTCCAGTCCACATCAAAAGGAATGCCAGAAAACTTTGGAGACTCTTTAAAAGGCAAAGCTCCCTGTCTGTTCCTAATACTTGGTACGAAGTATTGCGATCAGGTTCATATAACATTAACATATAACACTAACAATGTGGCTTATGGAAATAAGTCAAATGTTTAAGCAGTTGTTGAGAGGTGGGATGATCAACTGCACATGGGAAAGCATTTTCTGTGCACTTGTTTTCTGTCCTACAAAACCAAGAAACTACAGTAAATCTTCTTGAGGCTAAATGACCATCACCTTAACTACCAACCCAGAGATCTGGAAGCTTGTTAATACCCTTTATAACAGAATAAGGGTCGCACAGGTTTAGCTCCTTGACCATTAAAGTCTGTGCATGGGAGGAGAGAGAACACTAACATTTTTCTGGCCATTCCCCTTCAGAAGGGAAGGTGGGATCATGCCCACATTTTAGTTTCTTCAGTGATTTGATGTATTGGGACAGTGACATAGTCTAAATCTAGTAGGGGCTAGGATGGTAAAGAGGAAACAGTGAATTAATTGTGTCTCACAACCACAGTGCTTCCTGTGTCACCGATTGCTCAGGACCATGTCTAAATTCAGAGTATGGCCCTGCCATATTGCCACTTATGAAAAAAGGGGTCGTCTCTAGGGTGCCAAAAATTTCAAAATTTTGTATTCCAGTTTAATTCCTGCAAAACTCAAAATTCTTGGGCATTGAATTCTGGTCTACCTCTTTGTCACTGATGGGTGATATAACATCAATGGACTGCAATCACTTTGTAACTATGCCTTCGTAAGAAGCTGCTAAGTCAGACATTGCTGAGAGGAAATGACATGCAACTTATGAAACTTGTTTATACACCAAATACAAGTGCGGAAGTGATTTCAACTTTGTTATTGTTGATAATACTCAAGGAGAGGATACAGACATCTAAAAAAAATCTGAATTCCTGTTTAATTAAAATCAGCCATTGAGGATATCTCTACATGCCATCTCTCAGTTTGCAATGGAACCTGGACAAAATACTCCAATGAAGTAGAAAAATGACTAACATAATTATTAGCAGCAGCTCTGTGTTATAAAACTAGGATGATGAGAACTTACTGATGAATGGAAGTATATGGATATACAAGCAAAATTGTGGAATTCAAGTCAATACCTATTTCAGGCTCAGTTTCAATACTCTTAAAAAACATTCTTGCAGAGATAGATTGAAAGTGTTTTATTTTCAGTAAATATTCTCTGGTTTCCCTGAGTCTTTAATAGCAGACCTATTTTTTTTCCATGTGGCAAATTTTCTGCTTGCCTACCTCCCCCAACCACTTCATTACTATTACCTAGCTATTATCTAGTCAAGACTAGCCGGTATAATGATGTAAAGAGCTTGTGTTTTTTTCTGTTCAGTTATTGTTCCTCAAGTCCCAGAACCTGCTTGTATGAATTTATCTCCCAATCTCAGTCAAGTGGAAAAAAACAGCAGCTTTTTCCCTGTCTGGGTATGTCCAAGACCTTCATACCCCACCCTGCTTCTTTGGCACAGGTGGGTCAGAGAGGTAGAGTTTAGAAACAGTATGAGCAAAGAGGAGGTGGGAAAGAAGACATCTACAGGTCCTTCTGTAAATTTAGGAGGTGAAATAATAGTGTGTGTACGTTTGGTTAGTTCAAGCTTCCTTTGACCTAATTTGCAGTTGTTTATACAGTTAATGACAATTGTGTATATGACTATGTTAAGCCTTCCACTGCTTCTTTCCATAAGTCAGAACTGCCGAACAGAACTGACCTTACATTTCTGGATGGATTTGCATCCATACAAAAATAAGAAATGGCAAAATTCCCAGCTAGAATTTTTACAAATCTGCTAAAAACCTGGCATTTGGGCTAAACCCCACAGGATAGTAAGAATTACACAGTCAGAGGACAAACAGTTCTGTGGTGGAGGAGTATTAGCTTGGATGTTGGCAGGCTTTCAGTGAAATGCTCTGTTCTACTGCAGGGGTCTTCCTGGGAAAGCACCCACTCTTGTCCCTGACTGCAGTGATTAAGACACTCGCTGGTGATATGGGACGTATGAGTCTGAGTGCTGATGAGCTGAGGAAAGAAATGAGCAGTATTCCTGAACCCGTCCTGACTGCTTTGCTGCTTTATAAGCTGGCAAGAGTCACTGCTGCGGTCTGTGCAGACTCCAACCCAGCTGGAGGGCAACAGTGACTTCGGGGCACAGAGGGGAGCAGCCTCCCGGGGCAGATGGGAAGATCAGCACCTCGTTGGGGTTACCTGTGGGGCCAAGGCATGAAACAGTCACCCAATATCTGCTCAGCCTTGTCAAGAATTAAGTGTTTCTGGGCACCCCTGAAGCAGAACTCATGAATCAGTAGACCTATAGGTAAGGGAGAAGTGCCATGTGAGGTCATCTCTTCAGTTCAGCTCACCCCACTTACATCAGAGCTGTGTCTTTGCCAATAGATCTTCACCATGTCCACTGACAAAGTAGTTTTCAAGCACTTTAAACCATGATTAAAAACACAACACCGTTCTGTTTGCACCCTGTAATGCCTAAATCCCAGACTGAGTACCCATATTAGTTTGAACCCTAAAAGCTGCTGATGTCTTTGGGCTGAGCACAAAAAGGCAAGTCCTCTCTTGGATCCACAGGCAAGGAAAAAGCACACTTGCTCACATATATCAGAGCCATGCAGGCTGCCTCAGTCATGAATTTTCCCCACTCATGCTGCCAAACTCATTCACAAGGCAAGACCCAGCTCTCCCCCCAGCACTCACCAGCCACTCCGTAAATGTCAGCTCCAGCACGCAAGCAATAGACTCTGGAAGGAGAAGCCAACAGCTCTGAAGGAGCTATAACATCCCTATCAGCAGCCATGCAAAAGTCAGTGAGAAAGAAAAGCTTCCTAAATATTAAAAAGGGCTTGCTAAAATGTTTGCCAACTGGTTGTGCTGCATCTCGCCGCTCTGAGTGCTTCACCCCAGATCCCCTGGACACAGCAAGCAGCATGTTTCCAAAACATTTAGCTGAAAGCGGAGGATAAGTGCCATATGCTAGCTGCTGCTGCTAGGTGCAAAGATACAAACACAATATTTAAAATGGCCCTGCTTTGTGCCTGAATTTCTTTGCGGAAATGCAGACACCATACTCTACGAATGCAGTTTGGGATGCTGTTCCATGACCAGCAGAGATAATCTTTTACCTTGCTGCTGCCAAAATAAGAGGTCCTAGCATTCCAGCCTCATGCCTGGTTGCTTCCCTGCATCCCCCTTGCCACCTGCAATATCCCACCCCTCCTTCATGGTAGCTCAGATGCTCTTCTCATCCCTTAGGGAGCCAGCGCAGTTGCCAGCCTGAGCAGAAAACTGTCATTGGTGGGGTTGGGGTGATTTTTCTGAGTTGCTTTCCCATAGCTTCAGCCTTCTGAATCAGTTTTCTGAGGGCACACTTGGCATCAGAAGGGCACAGGACAACAGCAGGAGTGCTGGCCAGGATGGGAAGAGCAGGAGCACCCCGTTACAACAGCAGTGAGCTGTTGCCAAAGCTACCTTCATCCCATGGCAGCCTTAGACATAAATATCCGTGCCACTTCACTCAGCGGTTTGGGGACCTGGGCTCTGACCTGGGTCATGCATGCAGTGTCACCCTACTCCAGTTTCCTTTGGAAGGAGGCCATGGCTTTTCCCCAGGCCACCTCACAGACTGCAGAGCTCAGCTGCTGTGGTGCCAGGGTTGGGTTTTTGAAGTTTCTAATATGTTTGCTCTCACTGGAAAAGTGGTTTCTTTTCCTTCTTTTTCTCATGTTCAAAAAGAAGTAGATTATATTTAGCTCATATTTCTCCTTTTGAGCTTGCATTTAGGCACTAAGTCAACACAGGAGAATTCCGCTTCGAAAGATGGATGTCTCAGAAATGACATACAAGAAAGAGGGAACTGAGTGACAGTGGTTCTGCAACCCCTGCGTTAAGTGCAATGCACCCCCTTCAGAAAAGGACATAGGAACTGAAAGTAGGACTTCTGGGAAATTGGGGAACTTGGAATCTACAGCTCAAATCCTCATCATCTTCCATCTGATTTTGGAGATGTATTAAAAAGTTCCTCTGAAGACCCCTGCACCCCCCAAGGTGCCTTTAGTTCTCTAGGGAAGTTTCTGCCATTTCTTCTTTAGTGGTGAAAATGCCCTTGCCTGATAGGCTGTGCAGACCAGGCTATACCATCTGAAGTGCTCTACTGAGACCTTTATGTTGTGGTGTAGGGGTTGTCTGGGGCAAGTATGGGAGAACAAGGGGATGCAGCCATAAATCTGTGATTACATTATGTGTATGATTACTATTATGGTGCAGAACCATCACCATGCTGGGATATCAGGTTCAAGAGAAGAGATAATTGAGTTATTTGTGTAATCAGTTATGTCACTAAAATTATCAGGGACAAGATGGGCTAAAGTAAGGTGACATCCCTGACATGCTGAGGTCCTGCACGGGTGCCACACCGAGAAAATTGAGAGGCATTTTCTGGAGGTCTCTTATCACACGCTACTAGGAATTACAGATTGTTGTCCCTCACAAAGAGCCAGGTCCCTTTAGCACCTCTGAAAAATGAGGTGATTTTTATCCAGGTGACCGATCATAGATTTAGATACTTGTAAGTTTAAAATACTGGTCCAGTTTAGGAATGAAGAAAAAAAAATACTGTCCAATAATATGATTGCGAAATCAGGGGTTTTCGGGCAAGGTAAACTGTCATGTGTTAGCTTGCTTCTAAAATCAAATTTGTTTTCTGTGTTTCTGTGGGAAATCAGAGGATGTTATAAACTGAGTCATGCCGTTATTGACTTTAGCAAGCAGGCAACTGATATAAATAGAGAAACAGTGGTGAGCCTTGGACAGAAGAAGAGAGTGAGAGTTCTTCTAGCAAGGGCTGATAGGACAGAGAGGCAAAGATGAAGACAAAGATCTTTCCTTTCCTTGGGTTACTATATGTTGCGTGTTCTTGTGCTTTCCCAGTTGTTCCAGAAAAGGAAAAAGAAGATATGCAATTTGCTAAGGTAAGGACTACAGACAGAACTTAAGAAATAATTTATTGAGAAAATGAACATAGTGATGTATTAGTGATGTATTATATTTTATTAACAACTCTCTGCATTTTAAAAGAAACGTTTACGTTCTAAACCATTGCTTTTTCTTCCCCATCAGAAATATCTGGAAAATTTTTATGATTTTAAAGAAGAGAAAGATTCTCTCTTTAAATCGAAGAACCTCAATCACATGGCTGACAAAATCCGAGAAATGCAGTCATTCTTTGGGCTAGAGGTGACTGGGGAGCTGAATCACAAGACGCTGGACATGATGAAGCAGCCTAGGTGTGGAATACCAGATGTCCGTTCATACAGCACCTTCCCACAGAGCCCTATGTGGAAGAAAGAAGATGTGACATATCGGTAATATATATTAAAGCACGTTTCTCTGTACAGCACTGGGAAGCTTTGTGAATGCTAGGCAGAAGTAATGCCAACAGGTTCTTTGCTAGTTATTCCTGTATTTCTCCATATAAAAGCACCATTCAGGATGAAAGGGCCACAAATGCGGGGACTATTCATACTCTTTGCTTTAGGCTTCCAAACAATCATGAAAATATCAAAACAAGAGTTTGATTAGTTAGTTAACAGCCGGCTAAATAATAGACTCAGTGGGAGAAGGCATAAAACTGAGAATATATACGTTAGGATTTCTGAAAGATGTGAAAGAAAACTGTGAATACTTCCTCTGTTATGTGAGCAAATAATATGAAAATACACAACTCGAGATGCATAAATAATAATAACGACTGATTAAAATATTTGGCCTTGATACTATGTGCCCCAGCCACATGTAATCTGGTTGCTTTTAATTCCTTTCTCCTTATTTCACAGGATTTTGAACTACACTCCAGACATGCTACAAGCTGATGTAGAGGAAGCAATTGCAAAAGCCTTCCAGCTCTGGAGCAGTGTCACCCCTTTGAGATTCACCAGGCTCTACAGTGGTCAAGCAGATATAATGATCTCCTTCGCAGCTGGATGTAAGGGGACTCCCTTGCCTGGGAATGATAAGTATTTGTCACTTTTTCTTACAGAGATGATGAAAAGCATCACTTCTTTTCCTTTTTTTTAGTTCATGGTGACTTCTATTCCTTTGATGGTCCAGGAGGAACGCTGGCTCACGCCTACCCCCCCGGCAATGGGATAGGAGGAGATGCCCACTTTGATGAAGATGAAAACTGGACCAAATTTACTACCTATAATGGTAGGTAACCTTAAATATTGCATTGCTTGTTTTTTATTAGACAGTGTTATCTTGAAGACACTATAAAGTCACAGATCTCATGGCAGCAGTTCCGGTATTTACTGAGATATAAAATGTCAGTGTAATTTAGTAAAATGATTCTGCATATTTTGACCTGAGCTGCAATCATGACAATCCCCTGAAGTTAATGCACAGACTGCAATTACAAGTCCAGTGAAGGAAATGAGATTAGCATGAACCAGCAATATTGGGTAATCATGACATTGTAAGGCAGGGAATTTTCACCCTCAGGTAATGACCTTAAAAGTTGTAATATTGAGCTCTCGCTCTTTTTTTTCTGATTTAAAGTGATGCAAATCTTTAACTTCTGCAAAGGAAAAAAAAAAATCTTGAATTTGTTGGTAAATATAATTAAATACAAGAGTGAAGTGTTCTAGTTTCCAGCCATGTCCAGGGGTGATATGTTACTCTTCTTCGTGAAGTAGTTCCCAGGTGAATTCCGTGTCATTTATTATTCTCAAAATTCGACCATATGACTAAAACGTTCTCACTCAGTTTTCTGTTCTTATTAACATTAAAGAAACTTTGATTCTTTGTTGGCAGGAAAATTTCTGAAGCATGAACAAAAACTGTCCCCAGATTGGTTTCCCTGCAAGAAATAAATGTTTATAATTTGAAATTCATTTCTCCTCCAGGATGCCAGAGAACTTCTTACTTGGCACATAGTTAGATTTTGCTGTTTTATTGAGGCTGCAAATGATATATCATGCACAAGAGGATGGCACCTGTGTCTCACTGTCATGCAAGAAAATTTATTTAGTGTTTTTTCTTTGTGCTGGACTTTTTTTAGGATACAACTTATTTCTCGTTGCTGCTCATGAGTTGGGCCACTCACTAGGTCTTGGTCATTCCAACGTTTTCGGTGCTTTGATGTATCCTATATATATGCCCAGGGATACGAGGGACTACAGGCTTCCTCAGGATGATATCGATGGCATTCAGGCCCTCTATGGTAAGCAAGAAGCATCACTTTTTAGTGGATGATGGGTAAGCATTTGTAATGAATTTTACCCAAGAGCTAAAATGTACTGAACTTTCTACCGCGAGAAGGATACTGAGATTTAATTCCCTGATACTATTTTTGGGCAAATCTCTTGTTTTCTTTGTGACTAAGAGTCTACATCTGCAAAATGGAATCTGTGGGCTGTATCCATGCCAGAAAGCCAAAAGGTCCAAGAGTCTCTCTCCAATGATACCAGAAGAACAACCTGTGTCTGTAGTATTAAACTCTTATCTTCCACAAAAGGGTGGTCACGTGCACAACTGCCTTTTGCAAATGATGTTTGCTTTACATTAACTCCTGAGCACACACAGTTTGAGAAACCAACAGCTTGACAAGGAAAAACAATGCCAGAGATCGTTTTAACAGTCAGCAGCACAGATATAGCCAAATTAAATTACCCAGGAACTTTCCCTGGCATTAATTTATTAGATGAGTTTTAAGTTTAAGAAACCTACACATTTGGCTCTATATGGTACATCCTGAAGCTCTGCAACATGAAACGCTCTAATTCACCTTCCAATTCTGCACTTATCTGTTTCCCAAAGGATCCCCCAGGGAGCCTCCTGCGCCTCCAACAAAAGCTTTTCCCCCACAAGAACCAACTGAAACGACACCTGCAGAAGCACCAACTGAAATGTCACCCCGGGAAGAAACGACACCCTCCAAAACCCCCACAAGACCAGAGGACTGTGACCCTCATTTGACTTTTGATGCCATAACCACTCTCCGTGGGGAAATACTGTTCTTCAAAGGCAGGTAAGTGCTTTCATTTCTAGCAACACCTTTTTGTGAGACTCGCAAAGGCAGAGCATAAAGTTCAGTTCAAGGAATTTATCTTCCCTTGGTTACAAAGGAAGATATTCCTTTCTGGAAGTATGAAGGCAATTTTGTGAAATTTTACTAGCCCAGCTGGGCTGAGTGAGTAATGTCGTTTACTGACAGGTGAGTAAAATGTTTGAAGCCATCATACAGCATCACCTATGCCTGTTAAAACTGTGCAAAGCTGAATAATCCCAGTGTCACTCCTCAGCCTGCAGCTGCTTCGCATGCAGCACTGTCCTCATCACACCATCC